CACCAAGGTGAGACGTGTAACACAACATCAGCTAGCAAAAAAAAAGAGGCAGAAATCCAAAATGCCCTCCGACCCACTACCCCCTCCCTCTTAGCCGAACAGCGTCAGAAAATCAGACACTGATCGAAGAAAGATGATGAATAATTAACCCGGAACGCGATGGTACTGAAACGTGTTGAAGACAACACCAGAGCGTTAAAAATACCTGGACACTCTCTGTCACGCGAAATTAATTCCACTCAAAAAGGCATTCATAAACATTCGGTGAGAGCACATTGATAGGGTTAAAGTTGATAACGTAATCGCGGCCATTCTTCAACTAACAATAAGTAGCCATTCTTGCAGCTGTGCCATACAATGAACTTCCGGCGCTGTTCGGTATAGAGGGGGCATTCTGCACTTCCGTTAGTTCCTATTGTTGGTTCATGTTAACTAACAGGTCTTTGGTCAGACCAACTTTGATCAGACTTGTTTACTCCTGTAAAGCTGTGAAATTGTTTGAATATGGCAGTTTGGTCGCTAGAATTCACAGGTCTTCATAAGGTGGTCTCAGGGTACAGCGTCGTGATGTGTGAAATGGTGCTGCCAGTACGACACCCCTTGAAAGAGGGTTTCGGTACGACCCCCCTTCTTGGTGAAACCCCCCTATCGGTACGATCCCCCTTCGCACCACCTAACTACCAGTCTCCTATATGCTCCCAGCTTCCTACCAGTCTTTCCAAAATTTCCCGAAATTTGCTACTTTCTCCCGAAAAAGTTAAGTTGGGGGGCTTGGAGTGTACGGCACATGCGAAACGGAAAAAACGGGGCGCGAAAAAGTCCACAAACCGGAAGAACTTTCTTCACGCGGCAAATTTCTCTCAGTGGCACATACGACCCCCTCTCCCAACAAGGACCGAATACGACCCCCCCCCGCGGTCAAGCACCCACATGTGTTTCGCACAACGATGCTGTACCCTGTGCAAATGCCCTCCTACCGTCGCTAAACGCGCCTAGGGGGGGGGGGGGGGGGACGCATAAGTGTGACGCTCTTCCGACAGGAAATCTGTATAAGAAACGTAAGGGAGTTCTCCCTGAATTGTCGCTTTTCCTGTGGTAACAATACAGAAGCACAGACCCTGAATTTGGTCAAGTTTACTAATCAAAATGGGTACCAATGCGGTTGACATTTACGTTTCCCCATTTAATTTAGGTCCTCAATTTACCCGAAGCAGCTCGGAAACCTATGATGTGCATGATCAACGGAAGATGTTTCTTAGGACAGGTTAGAGTTGGTTCAAGGAATTTCGAGCTTGTAAAAGTGCATCGCGTTGGACGTTGGACGCCCCCTTTAGCAGCAACTACCTCCAGAACCCAGCAGGAAGTCTCCGAACCTCTTTGCGGAATCGATGTGAAAGGTGATGCCAAAATAAGAAGTGCTAGCACTTCCATGATTTTTTTAGCAGACTTCCTTAATCTTTGCAAATATCGCGTGAACTGAATTCACATTCAGTAAACCATTCCACTCGAACTCAAGAAGGTATCCGATCTGGAGGTGGAAATTAAAATCTTCGAAATGTTCGTTCGAACAAATTCTATTTATTCAATTCGAAACGAGTTTGTCTCTCATGGTACCGTACCTTCCAGCGACACCTGAGGTGTTTGGCAAACGATGCTGTAGCTTGATCGCGTAGCGCCAATACCCGAAATCTGATTGTTTCAAAGAGAGCGTGGATGTTCACTAGTTGGATATACTCGAGGTTACGGTTAAATGCAGTGTTTCTCATCGTACCGCATTTGACGGGTAGAAAAATGCCCTCCTGACCATGAGAAACATGACTCTGTTTACCATATAGTTGACAAAACCTCCTCTAGGGCTTCAGCTATTTTATTCAATGGAAAAAGGAGAGGGTGTCAAAAGTGCTCACTTTCGGCGGCTCGGCACCCCACTTTCCTTTCGAAGCTTGGCAGCTCTAGAAAAGAGGATAGAAAAAATCCAAAAAAATAAGCATGCCATCTGGAAGGACAAAGAATCTCTGCCAAACTCATTGAGGTGCCTCAGTAAATCGTCTCATTCTTAGCCAAAATGTAACTAAAAAACCATTCTTTACGGGTCATCCCAATACCTTGGAGTGCTTCGGATTTTGTTGGAGCAGTATTCACTCATTATATCTCATTACATAGCCTCAACCCAAATCGATCAAAATTCTTTGTAAAAAGGAAGCACATAGACATAAACATAGTCATATAAAAAGGATGGCTCTAAGATGGGACATCGCCCTACCTCTGCAGATTCGATGTGTCCGTTGATCAGCAACAGGAACGCCTTCTCCTGTGCCATTGAAAGCGATTTGCAGGCGATGACGTTATCAAATATTCAAAGTGGTTACATCAGGCTTCGTAAGGAGATAAATCGTATTATATCTGCAAAGTTTCTTTGGAGCGTGATAAACAGATTAAGGGAAGGTGGAAGATCAGTATTGCCGATGTTCGTGAAAGGAAAATTGAACTGCACTATAGTACAAGGTAGACTAATGAGCCGGGAAGTTCCGTGCCAGCAGCAGCGTCGACTGACCTCGTCTGCCTGGTTACCATGGCGACACGCAAACCTTGAATTCTCGCACGGGGTTGACAAGGGTTAACTCACCACAAGCTAATTAGCTATTTTACCGCTTTTCGAGTAATTGCTGAGACATGCGGTGCGAGGCATTCCTCTACAGTCTGAGCAGTAGTTCCCCCTCAATAGTGAGTGATGCAAAGGATCAGAGAGTTTTCGAACAAGGCGTTTGGAATTACAACCTTTTTGGCTGGTAGGGGTGGTTTTTGACCATGGTTACTCACTTTGCGTTCTCCCTACTCGGCGACGCAAAGAGCGGTAGAGAGTTATTCTTTAGAGAGGGGGGGGGGAAGTGCAACTAGTAAATTCCTGGTGCGGGAAAATGACAGGAACGATGTGACATGTAACGAGATGGGTTCCAGCTTCATTTGGATTAGTCAGCAGCCCGGAGCGGTTGATCATTAGACGGATGCGTTTTGGTGGCAAACAACTACCTTTGGAATGCGTCATGCATTTCACTTAGATTATGTATTAGGTTAGCTGAAAGTTCTGTCATGGTTTAAATTACTCGAAATACTTCCCCATACTTCGAGGAGGTGTGATAGATAATGTGAGTAACACCCAAGAAGATACTCTTCCAATTAGAACCATTCACTCATCTCCTATTTCTCCTTCTACTGCGTGATGAACAAAAACTGCATTCCTACCGTCAGCGCCGACCCTCGTACCTATCCCTCAAGTCTTTTTTCTACCACCCTAGCTCGAGCTGAGAGCTACAAAATGAAGAAGCTGAATAACGACAACGCCACCCCATCGGACAGTCCTCCACGACGGCAATGCTTCAAAGCGGGAGCCTGCAGGCTTGACGACGAAGTGTCCATATGAACTCAGCTTGATGGAGCTGCAGCTCGTGATAACAGGGCATGTTGTTGTTGTTGAGGATTCCCCAAAAGAGTGGGGGGGGGGGGGCTATTTGGCTTCTGACTTTCTGGGAGAGGTTGTCGATTTTTCGTGGGTTTTCCTCTTTCAGAGGCGGAGGTGGTGTAGTGACAAGTGGCGCGCTTACCACTCGCGCGGTCCTGGGTTCGAATCCCAGGTCGACACCCGCCCAGGCCAACCAAGCCTTCTACCCCGGGGACGGTAAATTGGTACCAGATTCGTCTGGGAGGATAAAACACTGACTTGTACATCGGCTGGCCCCCGCAAGTCATTGTATAGGCCACATCGCATTCAATAAGCCACTACGATTCTGAATGGAAGTATTGGGTTGGCACATAAGTACTTTCGTTTTTTTTTCAACCGGAAATTTCGTTCCAAAGATGAAATGTTTTGCTAGCAAGCTTGATATCATCTGATAGGAAACTTCACGTAGTTTTAGAATATCAAAACGGCTTCGGTTGAGGGAATAATTTTTGTGGATTTTTTAGTCGTTGAAGTTGAAAGCGAAGTCGGCGAAAATTAGCACCTTCGACAACTGCCTCTATTTACGTATAGTCGAAGTGCTAAAATCGCTTAAGCTGCTCCATACATTTGGAAAAGGTCGAGCTAGAAGTTCCAGCAAGGGAATCTCACTAGGACGCTTTGGAACGAATTTCAAGAATTTTGAAGTTACCAACCTTCACCTCGCCGATATTGGGCAGCTCACGTCTGTTCCACCTGAAATTTTATTATATTGAATGTTTCGCTGATATGTTTAGCATGCTCTGATAGCAAATTTCGTGCTCTATAACACTGCTATAGAAATTGTTTCTCCAGAGGTGTTTGCTTTCTGTTAAGTTCAGGTAATCATTACGGAACGCGAAGTCGTTGAGAACTAGCGTTCCCGTTCTCCACGAATTTTATGCTAACATTTGAATGTTTCGCTAATGTGTTCTATATGTTCTGATAGCCAATTTCGTGCTCTATAACACTGCGTTGCAGTTATTTTGAAAATCCGTTTGATGAACCTTGTTTTTCAGGTGGATAATATGGAATGTCAGGTCGATAAGCATCAGCACTTCAGACATCTCCTCCTTTTCGCATTCAACAGAGGTATCAGAGCTGCTGATGCTGCTCGGGAAATTCGCTAAGAGCTGTCCTAACACTAATCTGTTACTCTAAGCCTTACTCAAACCATGGCGATTCTATTGAGCTGCTCTAGGAGCTTTGAAGCTTCAGTGGACAGCGGTTGAGAGAGGAAGTCGGGAACTCCAATTCTCATCGACCTCACGTTCCGTAAAGATAACCTGACTTAACAGAAAGTAAACAGCTCCGGAGAACTGATTTTTATGTTATGTTATAGAGCACGAAATTGGCTATCAGAATATATAGAACACATTAGCGAAACATTCAAATGTTACATAAAAATCGTGAAACGGGACACGCTAGTTCCGCAAACGACTTCCGTTCCGTTAACATTACCTGAAGCTTAACCAGAAAGCAAAACACCCTGGTAGAAACAATTTCTATAGCAGTGTTATAGAGCACGAAATTTTCTATCAGAGCATGCTAAACATATCAGCGAAACATTCAAATATTAGCATAAAATTCCAGGTGGAACAGACGTGAGCTGCCCAATATCGGCGAGGTGAAGGTTGGTAACTTCAAAATTCTTGAAATTCGTTCCAAAGCGTCCTAGTGAGATTCCCTTGCTGGAACTTCTAGCTCGACCTTTTCCAAATGTATGGAGCAGCTTTAAGCGATTTTAGCACTTCGATATACGTAAATAGAGGCAGTTGTCGAAGGTGCTAATTTTCGCCGACTTCGCTTTCAACTTCAACGACTAAAAAATCCACAAAAATTATTCCCTCAACCGAAGCCGTTTTGATATTCTAAAACTACGTGAAGTTTCCTATCAGATGATATCAAGCTTGCTAGCAAAACATTTCATCTTTGAAACGAAATTTTCCTTTGAAAAAAGACGGAAAAGTCTTAATGTGCCAACCCAATAGAATCGTGCCAGTCTTTCCGCATTCCCACAAAGGGATTGATTGACGGCGGAAGACCTTTACCTTTACCCTTTTCCTGTTTCACATGTATGTATGTACCATATACCCCCTCGTTCGATCGCAAATTTTTGGGAAAAAGCTGGAAATCTTAGGAAATTCCGGGAAAAGTGTAGGGAGTTGGGGAAATTTATAGGAATGTTAGAGAGGGGAGTCGTAATTTTTCTGCGTGTCATAGAACTTTCACATGCACCCCCGCTCACAGGCTCGAATGCAGGAGGGAACCAGGTGGTTGCACCCACCAAAAAAAAGGGGAGGGGAGAGAGGTCGTACGGACTCGACTAGAATCCCCAACTAATGATGTGTCCTGCGTGATAAGGTAGGGTCATTACCGGTTATCAGCTGGTTCAGCAGCTTAATTCAGGCACTCGAGGCCCAGCTTCACCACTACATAGCAGACATGATTCAGCACTTCAGGATCATTTGTGCCATGGCAGCCCTGTACACCTGACGACCTTATCTCAAAAAACTGCCGCGACACATTTGATTTGACTTTATAGTGTTATTTATGTCGGTCAACTAGCTAGGAAGTTTTGACTCCGACACCATGCTGCGCCTCAGATGTGTCGATTTACACCCAGATCCCACAGGACGTCAAGCGATCAGCAGGAAGACTGTCAGCATGCTTTCCGCTCTAAAGAGAAGAAAAAGCTGGAAAAGCGAACTGTGACACAGTCGGAGTCTTTTCGAGGCGTTCAATGATCATCGGAAACAGAGCAAGTTTCTGCCTTATTCTATTCGTTGGATAGCTTTACCTGTCTACGCAAAACTTTTACAAATCCGTTTCAGCTATTCACTCTCCTAACACCGCGAGAGGTCCCGTTCATTTTCGCGCTCCAATCAAACCCAACTGGTTTGATGTGCAGGCACTCATTACGGTATTAAATCTGCGTAGTTTTTCTGACGGAAGTTCGTTTGGCTTCCTTTGACGTTTTTCGCTCGTAGAAAATTTTAAGTATTCGTATCTCTTTTTTGGTTAGTTAGTTATTTCCTAAACATTTAGAAGGGTTTTGTCCAAACCACAATTTGCAAGCAGAAAACTGGTTGCTTTTAAGGGAGGGAGTAGGATGTGGGTGAACCCACTGACACTTTCCTGATTGCTTTCCTATTCATTCATTGCTTGACGCTGTTTCGGTTTAATCTTTCCAATTGACCATCGTCCTTGTTAAGGTCTTTCCTTGTGAGGTTAAGGAACCTACACCATAGAAATCTACATGGGAAGTATCCACATCTTGCTGGTTACGTGCGCAATAGTTATAACTTATATTGAGGTGCTTGATGGTTTTCATACGACGAAAAGTAAACTTTTCCAGGGCTCCTTTGACAGGATGTTGGCCAGATCCTTATCTCGAATGGCCGTCCTCTCACGGCGTGGGTTGGCCGCAGCAGCTGCTCAGCAGAAGAATCCGGAGGAACTTCGGCTAACCTTCGCCTCTCCTGATACAGTAGGTGGATTTGTTCATGATTTGTGTAAGGAT